CCAGGGTTGGTAGCTGGAGCCCAATGATATTCTGGGCAATTTTAATGGTTCTCTGTAGAGCTTTTTTGTCTGCTACAGAGCTACTCCCAAACCATGCCAGAATGCCATAGGTTAGGACACTCTCAATGCTGCCACGATAGTATGACAGAAGTAAATGCTGAGATAAATTTAACTTGCCAAGCATTCTTCTGTGCCTTCTTCACTAGCATGTTGGCGTTTATAGTCCATGAGAGGTCCTCTGAGATGTACCGTAAGTGCCCAGAAATTTTCTGACATATATCACAAGTTTTGCAATAGTATGTAACCTGTTTCCCCATACCTGGCCAAAAGAAGTTCTGGGCAACCCTTCTTTTTGTTCGTGTGATTCCCATATGTGCACGAAACAAACTACTGTGAGGTTGATGTATCATTTTCTCTAAGTACTTACTTGGGATCACTAATTGCCTTTGAGGTTCTCCTTTTCCTCTGTACGGGGTGGGTAAAACTTCCCTATTCAAGAGATCCTTGGCTATGCAAAATCTCTCAAGGCACTCGGGACAATAAGGTGGGTGAACTGGCCGCTTCAAAGCAACCCACCAAGCTAATGTCCTACTTCTGTTCCTGGGCAAAATATTTGTATTTGGGTTCTTCAAAAGAATTAAATCAGCTTCTTTCCGACTATTAAGCTGATTTTCTGAAGAACTTTCTTCTTCCAGGATTCCCTCAGCTACAGTATCCTTTTCTACTATAGCGGGTGATTTCTACCCCCCCCTTTGAGTGTGTAAGAACAAAAGCACTCTTAACATGTTCTGTTAAGTCCCAACCTATGAGAAAAGCAGCTGGTATTTCATCAGAAATGGCCATTTGCCACTTCCCAGACCAGTTCCCATTGGTTACTTGAACCTCTGCCACCCTCACAACTATAGTTTCTTTCCCAATTCCTTTTAAATTCATAGTTCTGGCTGGAATTATGTTTTCCTGGGCTACCAGGTCTGAATGTGCAATAGAAATTTGAGAACCTGTGTCCCTTAGAGCTATATATTTCTTTCCATTTACTAATATCTCTTCCCCAGAGTTTTTAAGAAGAGAATTGTCATTTTCTATATAGAAACAATGAACCACGGGGGCTTCAAGTATTTCTTCAGGCTCAACTGCAGCCTCGGTTGCCATGGAGACAAAACCATTGTTACACTTTTTTGGTCTGACTATTATCTTTTCCATTTTTGTTTTTCATACAATTTGATTGAACATGCCCAAACTCGCCACATTTGTAACACTGTTGGTAAGTCCTTCGATCATACTGAGGAGATCTGTCAAACTTCTCCTCAGGGTTCATTCACTTCTGCAAATTAGGCCCTGGCAATTTAGATAAGGTACTAAGCTGACGCAGTGGTTAAAACGCTGTACTGCAGCTAAAACTGTGCTCACGACCTGGGGTTCAAATCCCAGGTAGCCGGCTCAAGGTTGACTCAGTCTTCTATCCTTCCGAGGTCGGTAAAATGAGTACCCAGCTTGCTGGGGGGGCAATGTGTAGCCTGTATAATTCAATTGTAAAACCGCCCAGAGAGTGCTTGTAGCGCTATGGGGCGGTATATAAGTCAAAAAAAAAAAACTTTCCCTGACATTTTACTGTTGTAATTTTTATTGAAGGGTTTCTTACTGTTCTAGTTCTGCCTGTAAATTTTTACCTCAGAAAACTTAGGATCTCTAATCTCACTAATGGAATCAGCATATTCAGATGCCTGTAATACATTTTTAGGTGTCTTTGACTAATGCAATTCCCCAGGCAAGATGGAATAAAATTGTTCTAAACCAAATTGTTCTCAAAACTATAACCTTTTCATCATCCTTAATCTCAAAGTCCCAGCACGCTCTCTCAAATGAAATCAGGAAAGATTCAGGGCAATCTCCTTTCCTACATTGGGGAAATTTCTTTAGGTCAATTTTTGAGAGATATCACTAGACAGGGCAATCTCCTTTCCTACATTGGGGAAGTTTCTTTAGGTCAATTTTTGAGAGATATCTCTAGAATTGTTATTATTGTTATTTTGAGAAGCTAATTCTAATTGTTTCATCTGTATTTGAAATCCCATTTCTCTTTGTCTTAATTCCATTTGTCTGGCCTCTTGCTCAGTTTTGGCTCTAATCTCTAGTTCCTTGAGCTTTAGCTCCTTAGCTTTCTCTTCAGCTCTGGCTTTTTCTCTAATTTCTAATTCCTTAGCTCTTAGCCTGAATTCCTGTTCCAATTTCCATTTTTCTAAATCTTGGGAGCTTAGAACACTTTGCCTCTTTGAGGCACCCTCATCAGTCTCCTCCTGTTCCACTGGAGCTGGAGGGTCTCCATTTCTCTGCACTTCCTGAGGGTAGACTTTCTGCCTCACAACTCCTTTTTTGGCTATGTTTGGGTGGCATGTTGAAGTCAGAGTGAATTAGTCTTTAATGTCTGTACTGTTTTTAAAAGGACCTGTCTTTCTTCTGTTAATTCCAGAAACTATGTTGTTGTGCTTCACTCAGCAGTTCTCTCTAGCTGTTCTCCAGCTAACAACCTTTTAGTTATTCTCTATGACTGAGCTATTCTTGCCCTCAGGCACTAAAATAATTTTATTTTTCAAACCTCTGCTTTGATTTTCCTGTCACCTCAGATCTGCTCTGACCTTGACTTCCCACTTTTATCCAACACAGCTCTCTTATCTCTCAGAGCCTTGGATTTCAAGCTAGCCACTGAGTCTCTCAAATCCTGAGGTAAACAAAAAAAAAGAAAAAAGAATTTTTCCTTTAGAGTCGGTCCCTGTCTTTAGTTCCCCCAGATCCAGGTTCAGAAGCCCCGTCACTAAGCTATTCCACAAAAGCTCTACTAGCAGGTCACCCACTTCTTCACCACAAACCTCTGACTAAAAGATACCCACAACTCCAGAAAATTCACCATTAAACTTTGGCTTTACTGGATTATTTTGTATCCCGCCGCTGGACAATTGTGGTGTTTACCCCGTGGCCTCTGCTTGTTTCACCAGCACAGAGCTCATGAAGGTATCTCAACATGACCCTTGGCATGCTGCCACCAGTTGATCTCTTTATCAACTTACATTTCTTATGAAAGACTAAGGTCCATCCAGTACTGACTTTTTAACAGAAACAGGTTTATTGATTACACATGGTTTCAGGAATAATTCTAAGCACATTCTTAAAGTTACACAAAGCTTCAGTATTTTACTTTAATCTCTATCCTAATCAATACAGGTCACACTCTGACTAATCACTCCTTCAACACTCCCCCCTCTCTGCCTCCAAACCCCAAACTATCTTCTCTCTTCTCTGTCTCTGACTAACTCCTCCTCCCTCAGGCTCCACCTCCCAGCCACAGTAACATACAACTTATGAATAATGCATAACTTAGAGTGAACACCACAGTTACCCATTTGCTGTAAGAGTGGTTAGAAAGAAGCCGTTAGCCCTCCGATCTTTATAGTAGCCTTTTCCATGGGAAGAGCAACACTCATTAGGAGAAGCTCCTGCTTATGTATCGGTTTTTCCTGTGAGCAATGGCCCTGACTTTCCAGTTCTTGTTTGCATATATAGCCTACAGGTAGACCGGAGGTTTGCTTCTTTAGATGCATCACTTTGCACATAAATAACGACTAGGTAGGCAGTGACTGCATCAGTCTGTTGCTTGGTGGTCAGTTGATGGTCTTCTGAGAGGAAGGAATATAATATGGTGTCATGGTCTCCCAACTCTGATTTTTAAAGCTGATAGGGTAACTAAAATGCATGGATGCATAGGGTTTTTTGGGTTTTTTGTCTGATAAAGATGAATTGTGTATTCATACTTGAAAATTTGTAATGGTAGGATTTCTCTGCTCTGAAGTGTGCTTTTTTCCCTTCCATTTACAGAAGAAGAAGAAGAAAAGGAAGCATGCAGACTTGGAACGTCAGGACTCTTCAACAACATCCTTAAGTTCAGTCTCATCCAGTGTTGATTATCCTTCAAGTCTAAAAGTGGCAGGCACAGAAAGCCCACCAAAACAAAGCCAAAATTCAGAAGCTGAATTGACCAAAGCAAACACCGAGTCCACTGGTGAGAGCAGGGATCAGATTAACAGCAGTCCCTTGAAAATAAATCAGAGTGCAGAAAGTGTTGCAGAAAATCATGAGGGCAGTAATGATATCAAGCCTGAGTTGGAGCATGATAGTAAAAAAAGTACAGAAGATCAGCAGGCTAGAGGTGCATCTACAGGGGAGAAAGTGGAGGAGGAGAGCTCCCAAAAGGATGATACAGTTTGTGGAAAGACGGGTTCCAACAAGGACTGTGGAAACAGTGCTGTGGCAAATGACCAGTCTCTGGGAAGTATCTTGAATACTCAGACTTTGGTTGGTGCCTTGGCAGAGGGAGTTGCAGAGAACATATCTCCAGATTTTCACTTTGATGTAGAACCTTCTGAAAAGAGAGATGCAAAATTGAGTGCACAAGGCAAGAAACAGGAAATGAAAGGGACAAAATCTGAAATGAAAGACAGTCAGAAAACCAAAGTGGAGGAGGCAGCCAAGCAACAGAGCAGTGCTTCAGTTCCAAAGGTAAGTTTTCCAAAGGTTTTGCTGATTGTATGATTGTGGAGGAGTGTGTCAAAATTTTCATGATGTCCTTGGCTTGAGATAGAGGGAGAGTTAAATATGACTGCAGGATGGTGAGAGTGTTCTCCATACCTCTGGATTACTGCACTGGTGCTTTTATGTGGTTGTTGAACAACCTAAATGGCTGGGCAACATCTCACCATGAGCCAAACACCAGGTTTTTAAGGAGGAATCGCTGAATTCTTTCTGAAATCTGCCTTGACTGCAGATTAGCCCCACGGTAAAATAGTATTTTGAATCTCAATTGAGAAAGACATTCCAGAAAGAGGCTATGTGTGATAGTTTGGAAAACTGGTGAGAAGTCAGCAGAACTAATGGAGAGGAACAGGCTCGTTTTCAGGGGCACTCAAACAACTTTCTCCCCAGTTGAGGTGTAGCCCTTTGAGAAGTTTGGGATGAGCAACAGTGGCACAGGAAGTTGTGAGAAGACTATGTGAAAGACTGCAGGGCATCTTTTTAGTCTTCAGGACTGAGATGCATTTTTGCTCAAGACCTTCCCAACTTGGCACCATCTATGTATATTGGATTAGAGTCAAGATGGATTTGATAAATCATATTGAGTTAAATCACAGTTTAAATCATTGTGCAAAATTGATTTAAATCACAATTTAAATTACTGCTGAAAAAAAACCCTCAACATAGTCATGCGAGTCCCTTTCCCCAAAGTGTACTCTTGCTTGCTATAACTTTCATACATAATTTTGATAATATATATTGCCCATAATCTTCTTGCCCAGATTGACTCTACTACCAATGATCCTCTAGTGAAGTTTGTATAAGATTTGCATCATTTGCCATGCCTTATTGATGAGGAACAGGGCACAGTTTGGCTGCATGCCCAATCATGTGCCTCATTCCACAAGTGAGATTCTCTGATACCAGTTAGTCACATTTAGACTTAACAAGTTATATAGATCTTAAGCTAATAACAATAGCCTTTTGGCCATTAAGATAGTAGCTAGGAGGGTGCACTTTTGGGGAGCGAGTTGCATGATTGTATCCAAATCTGCTGTGTTCCCTCCCAATGTGTGCACTTTCAGAGAGAAAGTTGCAGAGATAAGTTAGAGATGCCACCTAAAAGAAAATTTTGGAAGAGTCGTGGGGATTCCGTCTTCAGCAAAATAATATAACCTCCAGGAATAACTTTAGTCAGCGATGCGAATCTTATCGGTGTTTGCATAAGATGTTGTGGCCAGTTGCAGCTAATTGATGCAGTGCATCTCAGTTGTGCATGTAACTGAGACCCCCCCAGACAATTTGTCAGTGGGCCACAATGAACTGTGGCAGGTTGTGTGAACACTAGTAGAATTCTGGCCAGAACTGGAAAACAGGTTTACCTGGTTAATTAGTCTTCATTTCCATCAACATTCCCTCTAAGCTGCCTAGCCATGCAACTGAGCCAGAGTTGTTCTTTTGCTTCTGATTGCAGCTGAAATGTTCCGCACATGGGGCGGGAACTCTGTGAATGGGGCTGGACTCCACCTCACACTAATGGAAAATTGGAGGGAACATTAGTAGGTTAACCAAAATAATTTTTACAGAAAACTTTGAGACTAATCAAAGAACTGGTGCACGGTATTTACAAAATCTTTTTTAAAATGTTATAAATACACTTGGCTGATGATACAAAATAATATTTTAGAAACCTTATTCCATGCTAGATTGTTGAGCTGTAGCACATTGTAATCTTAAATGAAAATTACTGTAGGGCTTTTTTTAACCAAAAAGGGTTTTTAATAGGATTTTTAAAAAAATACATTTTCTCTCTAAATATATAAGTTTGTAATTTTTAGAAAATGCACTGATTTTTATCTCCTCTGATTATTTCTGTCATCTCCAGAGCAAACGTAAGAGAGTTCCTTGTTGTGGAATGTTGCTGTCGTCCATCACACTGCTCTTGTGTTATACTGTATTATGCAATAGGAAGGGATTGTAAGGATGGCTTGCTAAGGTCCTTACTTCTTTGGTATGTAAAGTTCAGTAGGAGGAGAGAAAGTAAAGGTGCCCACCCAAGTCAGGAGAGGCCAGTGATAGAGACAGGTCAATGATAGCATTTGCCAGATATAATAAATATAGTAATAGAAAAATGGAATATTATCTTTAAAATCTTTGCACCTTGATTTGTTTAGTTTTTCCCGCTCTTGTTACAGAGAAGTTAATGACATTTGAAAACTAGCTGAAAAATTGCTCTTTCTCTCCTTTCAGGCTCCTAATGGCTAATATGTCTCTGTTTTAATGTGAGCTGCTAGGTTTTTGAACATTAACTGTTTTAAGCATGATTTGTGTCTGTGTTGTAGAACGCAAAGGTAGAGGAAGTATCTAACGCAGAAAAAGCCAGTGAAAAAGTACAACAAGCATCAACTCCAATCCAATGTTCTGATCAGGGAAAGATGTCTTCTGCTGAAATTAAAAAGAAGCAAACAAATCAGAGAGCTAAGAAGCAAGGCGTAAACAAAGAAGTTAAACAGAGGTACGGCATATTAACAGTCTGGATTAGATGGAAATGATCAATAACAATTGCTGAATATTTATGTGTAGATTGGGTTTCCTGTTTTCTCCTGGAAAGAAAGAAGACAAAAGTTTCACTAAATCTGAAGCTATGAAAAATACCTCACATAACTTTTGTTCTTCTTTGTGGTCTCTGTGAATGCACACAATTGAGTTTTAATGCATCTGCACATAGACTCTTGGAAACTTCTAACACATGTTGTTAGGATCTCCCTCCTGTCACACGTACCCCACCCATGGCATGGAGTGCCTCAGTTCCTGTTTTGCCTCCTCTACAGCAGCACCTCGGTTACGGAGCTTCTATTCATTCTGTGAAAATAAAGATCTCTTCAGGACCTTCCTCCAATTCACATTTCATAAATTAAAAAGAGAGAGAGAGAGAGAGAGAGAGAGAAGAAAGCAATTAGGATAGAGGAGACAAATCTCTCCCCCCCGCCCCCGCGTGCCCTTTTCCACCCAGGCCGCCTGCTCGTTTATGGCCTCTTCAGGCCCCTTCAAGTGGTGTGAATCTTGTCTGAATAAAATAACCCTTTCTGATGGGCATTCTCAGCGCCTCTTCTGCTTAGGCAAGTCCCACCAAACTTCGTCATGTCAGTCCTGTAAAAATGTAACTAAATTAGCACTCAAACTTCACCTTCAGCGCTTATGATTTTTCCTTTGGGAAAAATCTCTACAACCACCTCAGCACTCCACCGTGGATCCTAATCAGGCCCAAACTGCAGAGCCCTCACCAACCTCTTGAAATTGCTCCCTGACCTTGAGACCAACTCAACCTGCTAAGAAGGCCAAACCAACACCTAAACCAAAACCCTCAGTGTCGATCTTGAAACCTACCTTGATTCGCTCAGCTGTGTCAACACTGAAATTGACCTCAGTACCAACGGACACTCCTAGGAAGAACCTCTCAGAAGACCAAACTCTCTGCAGATAAACCAGCTCCGCCTTCTCCATCTATCAAAGAGCCTCAACAAGGGACGGTGTGCCTTGATTTGTTGTCTGGGGATGAGATTGGTCCTCTCCCTTTGCCTGGTACTGCACTCTCCCCACAATTCAGTCACTCTCCTGACTGGGGGAATACCTTGGCTGAGGTCACTGCAGTTATTCACTCAGTGCAGGCGAGCCCTCAATCTTAGGTTGGCTCCATTTCAGGCTATATTTCGGTATCTGTCTTGGGCTCGATACAGGAAAATCCTCCTCACAAGAGGACCCGTAATACTCACCACACGGAACCTCAAGGCGATACTGAAGATCCCTGACCTCATGCTCTATATATGGCCCACGAACCGCCATACCAGCATCGTCACTTTAAAAAGGTGCAGCTTTATGATTGTCTGATCTATTATGAGCCTGAAGCCTATTATGGCCCCAAACTGTACGAGCCATACCCTTGGGACCGTGGACACTGTTATACTTATGGCTACCATTCCAAATGTTCTTCCATATTATTGTTTCCTTCTCGATTCCGAGTACCAACTGAGGCCCTCCCATACCAGACTTCAGAGGATGAATGCATTGCTCTCCCACCACCTCCGGCGCCATCTAGCATCAGAAGAGAACTCCACCATCAGATCAAGATACCAATTGATGATGAAACGACCGCACCGTATGGCTTCGGTACCAAACCAGTCATCTTATACCCAAGCAACATTATCCCAGGCCCAGTCATCTTTAAAGGTCACTACAACATACCACAGACCACCTCCAGAGTCTCTTGGTACTGATGCCAACCAGGTGACTCTACACAAGTTGAAGAAGACAAGAGGTAAATGTCACCCATTACCATTGGAAGAACCTTCTGATAGTCCATCTGTATCAGCTAGGCAAGATCTTTCTCCATCTCCAGACCAGCTCCTGGTCTGTTTTGAAACCAACACCAATGATTCCAATGTCTAGGGGAGATTCTCCACCCAATCTTCCCACACTGGATTCTGATACTGTGGAAAACCACCCTCCCTCTCCTTCAGAGGATTTCACATCATACACATAACTGATTCTCCATATTGCTAAGGTCATGGACCTTGCTGTTGATCAACTGCTACTGGAGGAGTCTAATAAGGTATATGAGGCTACTACTCAAGACCAGACACCACCACTTCGCCTAACCTTCGTCTTTACTCAGACTCATTAAAGAATAATGGAAGAAACAATCCTCTGTTCCTCAGATTCCGAGGCGGGTCAGGAACCTCTATAAGACTCATGGTGCCACTTCCACCTTTCTTCATAACGATCCTCTTCCTAACTCATTCATTGTGGATACTACACAAAACAGGGCTCGAAATCACTCTGCCTCTACTCCCAACAATCTGTCACAGTCCAAGATATCCCAGACAATCCCTCACCAGGAGCAAGGGCATCAGGGCCCAATCCACCGTGCAGAGTGTGACATCTAAGGCACTCACTTTGCACTTGGTCATGACCAAGCAGAGGCAGGAGCACAAGGCAGAGAACACAGAGTCAGACCAAGGCGCCAAGATGCAGGGGGCAACACAGGAACAGATGCAGGAATACTGGAACACAGGAACTCTGAAGCTCAGGAACAGCAAGGCAGTAAGCACACACCATCATCAATACCTTTGATGCCAAGGCAAGTTCTGGGAAGGAGAACCACTCCTTAAATAGGTCTTCCCTCCATGCCTCCATGTGAGCCTCATGAGTGGCCCAGCAGCTGCCACACAAGCCAAGGCCTGAGCCTGCAAGCACCAGGCCACTCCTGGGTCAGGCCAGCCCCGATCCTGCAGCTGACGGGGCGGTATGGGCCAGATTCTGACACAATTGTGAAGATAGTAAGTGGATGTTATAGGCTGTTGAGTATATTTACTTGCTTCCTTCATCCTTCAGGTAGCTGATTATACAGCTGCGATGGGAGCCTACTGTTGCCCCTTTGGAACAAGGCTCTACCCACTCTCCATGTGGCTTTGCAGAATCTATGGTCTTGCGCCCTCCTTTCATCATGAAGCCATAACCCTCGCTCGCAAGGAGATAATTGCAGCATATCACGTGGTGGATGCTGCTTCTGAGGAAATGGCTACAGCCATAGCAATATGTCGCCACACATGGCTAAGATCTGCCAGTATATCTGATGACACATGGTCCAGAATAGAAGACCTACCATTTGACAGCCTCTGTCTTTTCGACAAGAAGACTGATGAAGTCCTAGACAATGTTCTAAAACTGAGGGGAACAGCAATACTCAGCAATATTGCCCACTGAATTTTTGGCATTGTCCTTATACTTGCCAACAGTATATATCTCGGTTGGATTGACAATGGCCGCATACTTTTATTGTGCCTTCTTTCTCCTTCTGCCAGCAGACGACAACATCTATGTCAGTCTATCCGCTGATCTGAGAGGAAGCCAAAGCAAAATCTTTGACCCCTTACCCCATCCCTCCACGTCCACCCCCTCCCACCAGTACCAGATATGTACCATACACAACTGGCACCTTTTCTCCACACCTGGCAATGCATCACTTCAGACACTTGGGTCCTCACCATCATCGCTGTAGGCTATGCAGTCGAATTTGATCACATCAACTGGGCTCTTGAAGAACGCCGTTCCTTCTCCCACCCTAGAAGATATGCACTCTCTACTGCAGAAGAACGCTATCACTCTAGTCCAACAGGCAGACATCGCTCGGGGTTTCTCCTCCTGATGTTTTGTGGTCCCAAAAAAAGGATGGTGGACTATGACGCATTTTAGACCTCCGCCACTTCAACTCTTAACTCACCCCAGGGAGGTTTCATATGGTGACCTTGGACAGTACTATTCCACTATTCCAACAGGGTGACAGATTTGCAGTAATCAATTTAAAGGGCACTTACTTTCACATTAACATATGTCCAGATCACCGCAGATTCCTCAGGTTCGCGTTCTAAGGAGCAACATGCTGGTTCAAAGCCCTTCCATTCAGCTTGTCAACTGCACCATGGGTCTTTACAAAATGCCTCGCTCTGGTAGCAGCATATCTCCACCTCCAATGTTTACAACCTCTGTGGTCAGATCATTCAAGGCCCTTTGGCTGTCTCTTCAAGTCACTACAGATGCCAGACCTACAGGCTGGGGAGCCCATTGCAGAAAATTTGCCATACATGGCCTGTGGTCTCCCATGGAGGCAAGACTTCACATTGACCATTTAGAGCTTCTTGCGTTCATCAAAGCTTTCTGAGCCTTCAAAGGCCTTCTCACAGGACATGCAGTTCAGGTAGCTACTGACGACACTACAGTCCTGTTTTACATAAACAAGCAAGGAGGAACACACACACTCTCTCTCTCCCTTCTACCTGACAGTACAATTGTGGGGATGGAGCTACGCTCGCCACATTTACCCTATTGCAGTCCACAGAGGACAGTGCACTCGCAGACCACCTCAGCAGACTGCACACATGCAGTCATGAGCGGTCTCTCAACAGCAACATGTTTCACAATCTATGTTGTTGTTGGGGCATTCCACAGGTTGGTTTATTTGCCTCCTCTACCAACGCGAAATGCCCCATATACTGTTCCAGGGCAGGAATCATAGAATCGTCATAGGGTTGGAAGGGACCTTGGAAGTCTTCTAGTCCAACCCCCTGCCCAAGGCAGGAGACATACCATACCTGACCTCATACCATCTCGGTCAGATGGCTGTCCAATCTTTTCTTGAAAACCTCCAGTTATGGGGCACCCACAACATTTGGAAGCAAGCTGTTCCACTGCTCAGCATCAGTAAATTCCTCCTTATTTCCAGGTTGGATCTCCCTCTGATGAATTTCCATCCATTGGTTCTTGTCCTACCCTCAGGCACAATGGAGAATAAATCAATGCCCTTTTCCCTGTGGCAACCCTTCAGATATTGGAAGACTGCTATCATGTCTCTCCTCAGTCTTCTCTTCGTTAAGTTAAACATACAGTTCTTCTAGTCATTCTTCATAGGATTTAGCTACCAGTCCCCATATCATCCTTGTTGCTCCTCTTTGCACCTCTTCCAAGGCCTCATTGTCTTTTTTGTATTGTGGTGACAAGAACTGGACACAGCACTCCAAGTGCACCCTGACCAGCGTGATATAGAGTAGGTATTATCACTTCCCGTGATCTTGATGCTATGCCCCTGCATCCTAGAAATGTGTTGGCTTTCTTGGCAGCTGCAGCATACTGTTGACTCATCCTTAGGCAGTGGTCCACCAGTGGACACCTAAATCATTCTCACAGGTACTACTGTCAAGTCAGGTACCACCTATCCTGTACCTGTGCATCTGCTTTCTCCTGCCTAAGTGCAGGACCTTACTTTTCCTGCCACTGAACTGGATCCTATTGGATAGGGCCCAATGTTGAAGTTTGTCTATATCCTTCTGAATGTTGCGTCTATCTTCCAGAGTATTAGCAGTTTCCCCCAGCTTTGTGTCATCAGCAAATTTGATGAGTGCTCCTTCAATCCCCTCATCCATGTCATTTATGAAGATGTTGAAGAGCACTGGGTCAATGACAGAACCTTGAGGGACCCCACTGCACACTTTCCTCCACGTAGATGTGGTTCCTTTGAGGACCACCCGTTGAGTGCGGTTGGTCAGCCAGCTGCAAATCTTCTGGTAGTTGCGCTATCTGTCCCATTTTGTTCTATCTTACTCCTATGTAGGTTGTGGTCTACCTTATTAAATGCCTTACTGAAGTCTAAGTATACTATATCCACTGTGTTTCCTTGGTCCACTAATTAAGTCACTTTATCAAAGAAGGAAATAAGATCTGTTTGGCATGACCTGTTCTTAACAAAACCATGCTGGCTCCTAGTAATCCTCTTCTTATTTTCCAGGTGCTCACAGATCTGCTGCTTGATTATTTTTTTTCCAGGATTTCCCCACACATTGATGTCAAGCTGATTCGTCTGTAATTTCCTGGATCCACTTTTTTCCCCCTTTTGAAGATTGGAAACACATCAGCTCTTTTCCAGTCCTCTGGAGGTTTGCCCATGCTCCATGACCTCTCAAAGATTTCATTCAGTGGTCCCGAGATCACATCTGCCAGTTCTTGTAGCACCCTGGGATGTAAACCATCTGGTCCAGGAGACATGAACTCATTCAAAGCAGTTAGATGTCCTTTTACCACTTCCTTACCTACTTTGACCTGCTTCCCTCTCCTGTCTTCCACAGTGCTGCTTTTGACAGGGTGGACCAAAAGGACTTCAGTTTCTGGGAGACACTTTTATGGTCACAAATCCTCCCATCCTGCTTCTGCTGTGAACCATGATCAAACTCTGGCAAGATGATTCCAATGCCATCCTGATTGCCCCATGGTGGCCTCGCCAACCATGGTTCACAACCCTCCGATCCAGGGTTTTCGAATTCCTTTGCCTTGCACAGCTCCCATACTTGCTGATCCTAAAACAGGGCAAGTCTTGCCAACCAGATGTCCACACACTACATCTCACTGCCTGGAGGATACTTCCATGGCAGCACAGGTCTTGAGCTATGCCCACAAGCCTTGTACAAAAACTTTATATATTTACAAGTGGAACATCTCCTCCAAATTTGCGTCGTATAACTTGCCTGTTGTTTCAACAGCACTGGACACTGTTCTTGACTTCCTTCTTCACCTTTCTACCGTGGCCTCTCATACTCCACTTTGAAGGTTTATATTGCATTGATAGTAGCTCATCAGCCTGAAAATTCTAACTCTGCATTGTTGTTCAGGCATCCACACTCAAACAATTTCTGCAAGGCCGAAGGAATAGTGGTTCTCCATGCAGACCACCTGCTCCTCAGTGGTTGCTTCAGCTAGTCCTTAATCACCTAATATGACCCCCATTGGAACCACTAGTGACTGCATCAGACTCTGAAGACTGCTTTTCTTGTTGCTATCACCTCAGCCCGTAGGGCAGTGAGCTCTCTGCTTTTCACATTGACCAACCCTTTCTGCAATTCTACCCTGACAAGGTCATGCTTTAGCCTGATCTCACATTCCTCTCAAAGGTGGTGTCTGACTTTTGTCAACCCGTCAACTGACCTAGTTGCTCAACTGACCTAGAGCAATCTGCATTCCTTGGATGTTAGACATGCCTTGACATTTTATCTCCCACTCTGCTTCCTTTCGTAAGTCCAAGAGACTATTTATTAGTTGTCACCGACTTTCTAGGGGTTTTCCAGTTATCCCTCAAACAATTTCCAAATGGATTTTGTCAGCCATTTGTCTGGCATATGACTTTGCCCCAAAGCCCTTACCATACTCAATAAGGGCATGTTCTACAAAAGCTGTAGTGACACCCACAGCATTCCTTAGAGGAGTTGACTTGGTTGACGTTTGTAAAGTGGCCACCTGGGCAGTGCCTTCCACCTTTGCTGCCCATTATCACCTAGATGTCCGGGCCAAGGCTGATGCCTCATTTGGTCGCACTGTCCTTGCCTCTGCTTTATTGTGACGTCCCACCTCCTGGTAAGTCAACTTGCTAGTCACCCATTTGTGTGCATTCACAGAGACCACAAAGAGGAAAGAGAGGTTACTTACCTGTAACCCTGGTTCTTTGAGTGGTCCTCTGTGAATTCATACTTCCCACCCATCCTCCCCTCTGTCCGTCATGTATGCTTATTGCGTGCTGGGTAGCAGCAGACTGTTCTATGGAACTGAGGCACTCTGTGCCATGGGCATTGCAAGCATGATGGGAAGGAGGTCCTAATGGACACGTGTAAAAGCTCTGGAAGTTTCCAAGAGTTTCTGTGCAGGAGCACTAAAACTCAATTGTGTGAATTCACAGATGACCACTCAAAGAACCAGAGTTACAAGTAAGTAACCTCTCTTTTTGTTGTGGCATTGACTTTTAAATGCAAACCTATCTAAATAGTAATAATGCTAATATAGGAGGCTTTATGAGTAGATTTCAACAGTTGGATGAATAGTGGGCCAGTTAAGACTTACCCATTTTTAATATATTGAGAGATAGGCCAAAAGAGGGTAGAAGTGACAGATCAGTCAATTTAACATCGTTACGTGTCTTCCCTATAAGCTTACATTAGCCATGTCAGAATAGATAAGAGGACTGCTATGGCGAAATCTCAATTGTAGCTATAGCTCATCAGCTTTAATAAGGTTTTGCCATGGTAGCTCATCTGTCCTTGTTGGTGGTGTTATTACGCCCACCTTTTCTTCAAATATTAGATACAGTACGCAGATGTACTGATATGCAAGATCCCGTACAATACATGGATGTAATGTAATGCTGACCAATGAAAAAGTATAGGATCTGCCAAAAGTGTGAGTGACTTTGGAAAAGACCATTTCCTCCTCTGAGGAGAAACAACATCCATGTTTGTGATTCACTTGGTGGGATTGTGACTTGAGAAATTTCCAAACCTTTTCTTCCTTGTCTAGAAGCA